TAATATACTCGCTCCAAATGCATTGTTAATATTCCTGTCAACCTTTGGAGATGAATGAGGTGAGGCGTTGCCCGGGCAACACGGTGAGGTGTTGCCCGAGCATATAAGCAGCAGAATAGCAAACATTAACCAGAGCTACTTTCAAGTGTGGTCTAGAGCAGACACTTGCGAGATGATGATGGTGATGATACAACAACATCGAGCACCATCAGATTCGGTCTCACCCACAACGACACCAACACAAAGCTCTCCATCAAGTGTTTTATTTAGCTGCAATATATCTGCTGTTACGTTCCTGGTGAAAGTATTGTGTGGTCCTGAACGGTGTGTGAGCTGTGAGACCTCGCTGCACCACCATGCTTGACATCGTCGCTGCTGTTGCTTTATACCTGTTACTTGCTGTTCTCATCGGGATGGCTATTAAAAAGATGTGTTCATGCCTTTATATAATATGCCATGACCCGGAGCCCTTGCAGCCTCCACCACAGCCTTCGCAGCCTCGCAGCCATCTGCAGCCTTCACCCCTCGCAGCGTTCACCACAGTCACTCCGAGGTCACCACCAATGTAACGTTTCTATTGTTACGTAAAGTATGATGACAATAAATACAGACACTAAGATACTATATATATATTTGGTCGAATATACAGAAGTACACAGGTGATACGTTGGTGTGAGTTGAGCGCACTGAGCGTCGGTACAGTATCTCGCAAGTGTCTGCTCTAGACCACACTTGAAAGTAGCTCTGGTTAATGTTTGATTGATTGATGAAGATTAAGGTGAGGTCTTATTAAATATCTTTATATTTCCACCCTAACATTACACTCCATTCTTACCAAACAGGTGCCTATCCACTTTACCCTAATAAGAGTGAAAGTTGGGCATAAATGAAGATGTAATCAGCTTGCATTATTGCCTATATTGAATTTTTAACTATGGACATAATGCAGATAAATATTTTGCAAAAAATTGGCTCATTAATATTAATATCAAGTCAGGATGATAAAAAAATGAATGTTGGAAATTGGTTTAGATGTCTATATATAATGTATAGTAAAGATGATAGACAAAATCTAAAAAAAGAGCACAATAAAGCATGCTTCAGAACCAACTGCCACAGACAAGGACAAGTAAGAAATGTTGAAGAAGAGGTAAAACAAAATTAAACATTATAGGATTACAGTAGACAAGACTTAAGTTAAAATGGTACGTGTAAGTGGTCTGACAACCACAAAAAGTGAGAGGCGATCCGAGAGCCGCAAGGGGTGAAAGGCGGTCCGAGAGCTGCAAGGGGTGAGAGGCGGTCCGAGTCCTGCAAGGGGTGAGAGGCGAAGCTATCGTTTGCGCTAAGGCTAGGATGCTGTATGTGTACTGTATTATGCCGTTAGCACTGTATTGATAAGTAGTTCTGCTATATGTAGAGTACTACAATACAGTTTATGAAAACTTTTTTCACTAAAATTTCTGTACTGCAACCTTAATTTGAACACTATGTACTTAAAATTAACACTATGTACTTAAAATTACCCAGCACGAGCTGTACGCGTGCTGGGTACGGCTGTGCTAGTGCTGGGTACGGCTGTGCTAGTGCTGGGTACGGCTGTGCTCGTGCTGGGTACGGCTGTGCTCGTGCTGGGTACGGCTGTGCTCGTGCTGGTTGATTTTCTGCTACTAGTTCTTGCAAAATATTGCTTCATTTTTGGCAATAATAAGGCACTATTAGTAAGCCCCTGGGACATTTTGTTGTATAACAATACAGCTGTTGTCAAAAAATGGTAAATTCCACGATTATTCTTCCACTGGGGGATAAATACGTCAATCGCAGACAAAGCTAAGGGCACCGGATGCCTACTGTATGAACGCAGACTAGGTCTATACACCCTACAGTAGGCTGGTGATTAAGCCAGATCCAGTAACATTAATTTCTCTCAAATATTGGATTTACATCAAATTATATTTTTGGGTTATATATTAGTTTAGCAACATTATTGCGATAAGAGCTATCAAAAATACTTATTTTAGAACTGATTTATTAATTTTATTATTTCAATGCCGTAGGTCACTGAACTGTGGCGACAAAATCGAACAAAACACGCATGGTATTGTGTGCACAAGAACTAGACCTGTCCACTCGCTCTGGAGTTGTGTCGCCAATAACATGAATAATTTCTCAAATAGCAGATATCTATCATATTACAGTATATTTTGGGTTTTATTTAGTTTAGTTTAAGTAGGATAATAAAGAGTTATTACAACACCAGTTTTAGAAATGATTTTTTAATCTGAAACATTCAAAGTCATGGGTCACTGAACTATGACGACACAGACGAAAGTGAGTGAAACCTCACTATAAAGTGAGGTTTACTGTACAGTATTCCCTTATCTGTCCACCCTCACTCATCTTGTTTCATCACAGAAAATGTATATAAGATGATTTCAACACATTAGCTAGTTATTCACGCTTCAGCCTTTAAATTAATTTACAAAGATACGTGTGCCACAAATCAGTGACCGAAAATCATTGAAACTCAGTCGTTCATTTGTGTGGACCACTCTGACTGGTGTTTGGTTAACATACGTTACTTGTTGTGTGGACCATTCTGGCTGGTGTTTGGTTCATATGGTTCACTTGTGTGGTCCACTTGTGTGATCCAATTTGTCTTATGAAGGAATTATTAATTGTAATCTGTGATAGAATGAGACAGTTTTCCACCACTCTGTGAACTCTCTCCCAACATTGTAAGTTGTGGACCATTTGTGGTCCACTTGTGTGGCCCACATGTGTGGTCCACTTGTGTGGTCTACTTGTGTGATCGAACTTGACATATGAGCGAAATATTAATTGTAATCTGTGATAGAATGGAAAATTTTCCACCAGTCTGTGAACTGGTGGAATCTCGACATCGTAAGCAAATCCGAACATCCCCCGCTTCGGCGAACCATTGTTCGTCGAACCGGGTGAGTAAATCCGGTCTGAAAAGTGTGCGAACTAGCCGGAGATTTGTTGAATCGGGGTACGTTGAATCGAGGTTGTACTGTATTAGAAACAGGATGGGTCCAAGTACAGAGCCCTGTGGGACTCCGCTGACGACATCTCGTCACCCTGATGATGTCTCCCCCCCTCACAGTTATTTGTTGTTTCCTGTTGCTTAGATACTCCCTTATCCACTGGAGCACCTTATCTTTCACTCCTGCCTGTTGCTCCAACTTTTGTAGCAGCCTTTTATGGGGTACTGTGTCAAAGGCTTTCTAACAGTCCAAAAAAATACAGTCTGCCCAACCTTCTCTTTCTTGGCTAATTTTTGTTGTTTGGTCATAGAATTCTATTAAGCCTGTGAGGCACGATTTACCATCTCTGAATCCATGCTGATGGTGTGTTACAAATCTATTTCTCTCTAGATGCTCTACGAGCTTCTACTGTGGTTGTATCCATGTGTTCTAAGTCTTCTCGCACTTCTGGGGTCTTCTGTTTCTTCTTCGTTTGGGTCTTGCTTCATGTTAAGATGGCCGTGGAGAGGAACATTTGAGCTTGGAGAGGAGGCCTCCATAAGGAAGTCTTGCATGTTGTAGGTGTTTAATTGGTGGTGTGGAGATGCTGCTCCTGCTGAGATTTCCTCGTCTGAAGAGTCTGAAGTGTCATCTGGAGACAGTGATTTAGTCTTCAATTGCACAGCCTGGGTTAGGCTCGGATGGCATGGGGTTGTGGTTGCAGCTACCGCAGGAGCATTGGTGGTATTGCTAGCAGCCGACGCATCGGGGCTGAGATGGTGATTGTAGGAGCCTTGGGAGCTGGAGTGGAGGGAATGAAATTCCAATTTCCAGAGGAGCCCCAGTGTCTCCCTGCCTCAGCCCACCCTCCAGGTTCTTCAGTTCATCATGGGTTTGTGCAGCAGGTCTGCCTGGTGGTGGTAATTGGTACTAACATGTCTTGAGGTCATTTGAGTGAATTTCTTGTGCTGCATGACTTGTTTACTGTAGTTGTTTGGCAGTTTTTCAAAGCTTCCTTTTCTGTGAACCCCGAGTTGTCTGTAAACAGCCCGTCCTCCAAACAGATTCAAAAGTGATTTCATGCACTTGCCAAACCCCCTGTTTATGAATGAAAAGCAGTTTACACACAACTCACAACTGCTGACGTTCGAACATATCCGGAACAAGTGCTTCACTGACGAATTTTGTTCGAATCACAACGCTATAAATGCTTCACCCACGTACTACAAATACAAATAAACGCCAACAGAACCTAAACACCTGACCTAACCTATCCTATGCTTATATATACACAATATGCCAATATATTATAATATTAATTTATACTTGAGAAAATTCCCGTTTTGAATGAACAGCATATTAAAATTTATGAATGCGTCTGTGGGGTCGACCGCTGGATGGAATGGACTTGAGTCGAGAACGGGTTGCTGTAAAGCTGTGCTGACTTTCTGGAGGTATTTTACTGGTGAGGTGGCAGATTGTCATCTGTTCTGTGCCTCTGTGAGAAAGCTAGATTCTGGCTCTTATACCCGGTAGGTCAAGCAGAATTGATGTGACCTTTCATTATGAAGCAATCTCAGCAAGATAGCTTCATAGAGCAAATGAAGATGAAGCAAATCCACAAATTGGTATTCATTACATTCAATGCTGGATTTTTGCACCAGTTCTCCAGACAATTCATTTGTGAACATTTTGATATCAAATTTATAGTTATAACCCAACAAATACTGTAGCTTGTAAAATGATTGTAAACATGTTTTGCATCTCTGAGGTACCCCTGAGCAGCTTGGGGAGTCCAAAACTTTTAAGGTCAGGAATGTTCAGAGAGGCCAGACTCACAAGGGCTGATGTGACTAATAGGGGTGGATATATCTTGGTGTGGCTAGCTATGAGGAGTCACCATTCTTTCAGACAATTGACATCATGTAATGAGAACTTTATAGTAGTTATGTAAAAAAGTATCATATATATTATAACCAATAACAGTGATAAGGATATGATAAAAAGTTCTTAAAATTTCACATAATTTATTATAAAAGTCACATTTGCTTCTAAGTACATGTTTATATACAATAAATTCACAGATGAATTTTCACTCAAAATACTTTTTCTTCAGGAAGCCCCTTGTGGCTCCCAGAAGCTACTATCTCTGATAGTGAGCCATACTACTAGGTCCCATCAGTTATGGAGTTCTATTAGCTTACCGAAGACCACAAGCCAGAACCTGGCTCCCACCTCACAGAGGTAGAGCAGGAAATGGTAGCACTCATGGCAAAATTTATATGAATTTATTCATGTCTGCCTCCACCAGAGAAGCACCCAGAAAGCCAGTGAAACAAATTCCACTGCTGGCTTCAAATGAGACCGCAGCCTCGAGAACTGTCAAAGAACTCCCCATGTAAACAAACGATTGAAAATTCATGAAATCAGCCCTAGCTCATATGCCCCTCCTTCCCCATTTATTTGCAGGGAGGGAGGGAGGGAGGCTGTGGTCAGCCAATTGTTCGATTTTATTCTGATGGTAGTGTTGGGTCAGGTCCCCTTCTCTATCACACTGGCTCCAGTGTCCTGTTTTCACCAGGTAGTGGTTTATTGTCTTTGTGGCTGTTCCTGTGCACTTTGGTGCAGTGAAAGCTAAGAGTTAAGAGAGCTTGGAGCTGCATATGCTCAAGGTTATCTTTCCTGTGCACTCCCCAGCGCTATTCTTCCACTGCCAGGGTTGTCTTCCTTGGAGTACTGGGAAATCACTCCCATGGGGTCCTCCTCACTTGTGGTGGCCCTCGCCTTGGGTGAGTTAGGTGTTTTCTTGACATTGTCTTTCTTCAAGCAAAAAAATATTGGCTGTTGGAGCACACTGTGGTTCATGAGCTTTACCAAGCACACCAAGGATGTTCTTCACAGCCACGTTGGACTGGCTGTGTTAGCATACTTGTATTATGCTTTTCTTGTGTTGAATGGACCAGCATAGATTTCCCAGTGTCTGGTCTTCCTGTTGGGGTCCATTTTCCCCACCGGCCCCTGAAATCTCCACTGGTTCGGGGTCTTGTGGATATTTCTCCTGAACCCCCTGATACTATTGAGCGAGTTGAGGGGTTCGAGTCATCATTGCCACTTGGTGACGTTTGGTCCATCCGCCTTTACTTTCTGCCTGTTGGGTTGGTGACACCTTCAACACTGAGTCATGTGGAGCCACCCTCCTAACTCATAACTCCTGTTATGTTGTTCTCATTCCAGCCTTCCCAATGTGTGGGGTTCTCAGATGATAACTGAAAAGCCCACATGTTGGGATGTTTGGTTTTCTGGTTTGGGTGGACTCTGTTGTGTGCCCAATTGGATGCCCCAGAGTGGCATGATGTTTAGAGCCAATGAATTTGGAGGTGTTTGTTACCTCAACTTACAGTGATCAAAGGCTTTTGCAAGTTGGGGGCAAAGATACATAAGGATAAGGCAGAAATCTCTAGAAACAGAATGAGGATGGTGACAAGGGGACAGAAAGATCAGTGGCCGGTCCACTGTGGATGGGAAGTCATTTTGTTACTGTAACTTTGATTCTCTCCATCACTGAAAGGCTGCACGGCAGATTGGATGGCTTGAGGCTGGCTAGCTTGGGACAAGAAGTGGTGGCTCAGCAAGAGACTAGTGGTACAGGTGCAGGTATAATGTCTCCTAATGCTTGGTTTCCATCTTCCTGTGATGCTTCTTTTTGCTGGGCTGTTTCTGGTCCTGGCTGTGGGTCTTCATGGTCCCTGGTTCTGTGTGTAAGTACTTCACATAGTACTCCAGGTTGATGATGTCCGGATGAATTAAGTTAATATCACCACAGTGGTATATAGTATCCGTTTCCATGTACCATCTTTTGGGACGTTTCGACTCCTCTATTTTCTGCTCTTCCTCGTATGTTTGGTTCCAACCCAAGGTCTCTATTCGTGCTTTCCCTGCCTCCGGCAGCCTTGCCTCAGCTGTAATGCCCCCATCTTTTGGTGTTGAGTTGGTTCATGTGCCTACAAGGCTGTCTGGCAGTTGTGTGCGTGCCTTACCTTGCCGCCTTAGTGTGACAAGGTAAGTTCTGCCTCAGTGGGTGCCTTGTGGGTTGATCCTGTTCCCTTAGCTCCCTGTTATCAGGACGTCTGTGATGTTCTTTAGTCTTGCCAACCTGTGGTCTGCCTTTGCACCCATGTTGTTCAGAAGTATGCCACTCTCTCGGCTGTCTTTACAAATATGTCCTGGGCTGATGTTCAGGCGAGGAAGTTTTGGTGGTCGCACAGGGTTCTGGTGGCCTGGTCTCTCTTCTTATTGTCCTGGTCCCCTGGTTCTCTTGTGTGGCCTTGGGTTGTCTTTTTTGTCCAAGTGTCTTGTCTTTGTCATAGTCACAGCAGTGTTTCCTCTGCCCTGGTGTGTGCCCAATGATTCCTTCTCCGTGAGGAGTTAGTTTCAGGGAGCCACAAAGGGCTGTCCCCAGAAAACCAGCATTGAATGCAATGAAATGCCAAAATCTGGGTGAGCCTTGGTGGCTCAGTGATAGACCTCCAGGACATCAGGGGAGTGTCCATCTTCATAGAACTGAGGGTGGCGCTGCTGGTTGACTGCAGCTTGCCTCCCTTCTTCCCCTAAATGAGTGGGGAAGGTGGGGTGAACAAGCTAGTGATAGTTTCATGAATTTTCTATCATATGTTTTCATAGTTTGGAAAGTTCTTTGGTGGTTCTCGAGGCTGCAATCTTGTTTGAAGCCAGCAGTGGTTTGTTTTGTTTTGCTGACTTTCTGAGTGCTTTCCTGGTGGTGGCAGACATGAATATATTTATAGAAATTTTACCGTAAGCACCACTGCTTGCTGTGCCTTTGTGAGGGGGGCCAGGTTCTGGCTCATGGTCCCCGGTAGGCCAATAAAACTCAGCAACTGATGGGACCTAGTAGTATCACTATCAGAGCTAGTAGCTTCAGGGAGCCACTGAGGCTCCCCCAGAAATTTGTATTTCATTACATTCAACGCTGGTTTTATGGTTAATATATTAATAAAATATGAATCTTGTATCCATGCAGGGCTTATCACAGTGTCATTGAAGAATTATGAAATCATAATACTGTATATCAGAAAATTACACCAAGAGCATAGATCTTGGTGTAATTAAGATTTTAAGGATCTTTCCTTAAAACATTTAATAACCAAATGGAAACATAAGAACATTCATGAATAAAATTTGGTTTACATTAAAAGATAAAAAATTGGCAATAAAAGGCAAACTACTGAAATGCCATGAAAACAATTAGGTATATTCACATAAGTGACCACACCCAGCTGGGCAAGACTTGTTGTTGGCCATCCACTGCATCATGTGTTGGAGGTGGCCGCCGTGGGAGCATCCTTGACACCACACAAACAGACCACGCACTATCCCATGACAGAGCGCACACGTTGCTGATGCACACCCACACTATTAAAGATAGAAATTAGTAAAATGTTAGGTATCAATAGTGCTTCTATTTTATAATAATGATCCATTTTGTTGGGGGTATGCTGCTTATGTATGTATATACGTTAGGCTTATATCGAGATCACCCCCTAATGTCGAACTACTGACCCTCCCCGAGATGCAACCCCAAAATAATTGACTAACGCCTGGGTACCAATTTATTGCTAGGCGAATAGAAGTATTAGGTGATACAAAATGTATCCAACCACTTCTGCCTCGTCCAGGATTTGAACCCAGAATTCCCAGTTGCTAATCATGAATGAACCCAACTACACTATAACAGCACAGGTATTTATATTGAATTAACAGATGTTGAATCTTCATACCTCTCGTGTTTACAGGCTTTATGGTGTAGTGCCAAAATAAAACATTTTGCTAACAATCCTCACCCTCGAGAGGATAGTAAGTGCTCAATGAACAAAGTCAACCCACAAGTTCCAGTGAACCAAGTACTTAAACAGCTCTCCTGTAATACTTTTTCCTACTTCTAATACCATGTAATTTAAAAAAAAAAAAAAAAAATAAAACTCCTTAAGGGTAAATGAAAGTATTTATTGAATTACTGTACATTGAAGGGGGCCCCTTCAGTAGCTTCCCCAAAAGCTTAAACAGTGGTGTGGCCAAACCTTCAGAACTTCACCTATCTGAAATTATCTTACTTGGACCACATCTGTGAGCAGTGGTGTAAGGACTAGGGGACCGACTGTCCACAGTCAGATATAAATGGAGGGCAATAACCTCACACAGTGAGGCGAGTACCTCACGAGCACCCACCACACAACCTGTTAGTGGGGAATCTCGGCCCTCTCTCCTTGTGGAGTGCAGGGACACGCAGGAAACCTTTGCACACAGAATCATACTCATTTACTTATACATACTCTCAAACACAAATATAACAAATTGGTATTTTAACTAGGAGAAACATTTACATTAACAACAAAATCTAGACTTTATATACCAGTCATTGTAAGTGGTTATCAACAAGTGTAAGATGCCTCGAGCAACAGCACAAGGATTCGGAGAGAACCTTGTCAGATAGATTGTGTCTGACTCAACCTGGCGAATCAAAAAATCAGATATTGGTAGCATCAAATTTTTAATTGATGTGGAGCTAACATAAGTGGAGGATGGGAACGACAGATTTATATATACAAGGGAGACTGGTTTACTGAAACACCATGTGTCGGAAATTCTGACACTAAATACTAATTCCTAACATACCAAGAAATACTAACACGGGGAGTACACAACAATACAACAAGGGGAGTACACTTAGAGGTGACCCCCGACATGAGTGCAGTCATTCATCCAAGCCTTTCGTAGGTTTGCTGCCCATTGATCCTGCCCCAAGTTGATGATCTCAGACAATGGGTCCAACTGGTGGTAGGGTAAGCATGCCTGAGGGAGGTCTGGAACCATCCAGTGGTATGCACCTCCCTAAATCAACGGCAGTGCCACTGGAAGTTTATACCCTCCAGAGCACCGTGGTATGGAGGCTTCGAATGGTTGGGAACAGTAAAATGTTAAGGAAAAACCTTCCACCGCCAAAAGATTGATCTACACGAACTTCACACCATTGTCACAGAAATTGAGTCTCAGGTCAATATCAGACCACTGACCTACCTCTCTGACAATCACTCCCAATGTTTGCTATTAGGTCCATCTCATCTGATGTATGGAAAATTTCTTAACCCTCCCTCTAACTAAGGGAGCCGGTCGGCCGAGCGGACAGCACACTGGACTTGTGATCCTGTGGTCCTGGGTTCGATCCCAGGTGCTGGCGAGAAACAATGGGCAGAGTTTCTTTCACCCTATGCCCCTGTTACCTAGCAGTAAAATAGGTACCTGGGTGTTAGTCAGCTGTCACGGGCTGCTTCTTGGGGGTGGAGGCCTGGTCAAAGACCGGGCTGCGGGGACACTAAAAGCCCCGAAATCATCTCAAGATAATCTCAAGATAATCTCTTGTATCTCTCACTGACGAGGGACCAGAAGATCCGTCTTCTGTCAGAGAGGGTGACTTGGTTCAGAGATACAAACATCTGTCAGGAGTAATAAGTCGGTGGAATTTCATTTGGACTCGAGCATATCCAACTGCTCTGAGGAAGTACCACTATGAGGTAAACAACCCTTATAATGAAATACACTTAAAACCAGGTGATGTTGTTTTGGTGGGCAATGACGGTCCACGTTCAGAATGGCCTATGAGCCATATTGTCTCTCTCCATCCAGACAGCCAGGGTATCTTGAGAGTAGTGAAAGTGAAGAGCAAAGGCACCACTAGTCTCAAGACACTAGAGAAATTAGTTCCTTTAGAGCTAGCAGGAAATGAAGTCGCCCAAAGACTCTCCACCCCTGGTGCTCCTGTACAGGACATCCGTCCAGAAAAGACTGCCGCACAACAATGCACTCTAAAATTTAAACAATATTATAATTCTGAAGGAGACCAATGAAGTGCTTGCCAGTCCTAAACAGTGAATTTAAGAGCAATTTAAAAATGCATATCAATAAAATATCAATCAGTCTCCCTCTTTTCTGGCGAAGAATGAGACTGCTGCTTTCCGGAGGGGTCTTTGGGTTGTTGATGCTTGGTTTGTCAGGCCGGGGGTTCACCATCTTGAGGTTATCTTGAGATGATTTCGGGGCTTTTTAGTGTCCCCGCAGCCCGGTCCTCGACCAGGCCTCCACCCCCAGGAAGCAGCCCGTGACAGCTGACTAACACCCAGGTACCTATTTTACTGCTAGGTAACAGGGGCATAGGGTGAAAGAAACTCTGCCCATTGTTTCTCGCCAGCGCCTGGGATCGAACCCAGGACCACAGGATTACAAGTCCAGCGTGCTGTCCGCTCGGCCGACCGGCTCCCCATGTGTTGTGTACGGTTGCGGCCCTCCTCCATTATCTGCGTGCCACGGCTTCTGTGTCCGGGGACGTGCTTTGGGTTGATCTGGTTTCCCTTCTTCCCTGTTCGCGGGTTCAGGTTTCTCAGGTGGTCTGCAGGGTTATTAAGGCTAGCCAGCCTGCAGTCTATCCTAGTGCCCATCACATTCGTAAGTTTGCTGCTCTTGCTGCCATCTTTGACATTGAGTCTTGGGCTGACATTCGGGTACAGGGTTTTTGGTGGTCGAACAGGGTCCTGGCTGCACGCTACCTTGTGAACGTCCTCCCAGAAAACCAGCGTTGGATGTAATGAAACGCCATTTTCTGGCCGAGTCCCGGAGGCTCCCCGGCAACCTTCCTGCCCTCTGGTTGGCATTTTTTCGCGATTTTTTATATCCAGCCTCAGAACTGGGGTGGGGATCGCCGGTTTGGGGGTCTGGGGCTCCCCCTTCCCCCTCCCGGGGAGGGGGAGAGCTGCGCAGATATGCGGCACGGCTCATGTGACGTCATGCTTGTTTGCTCGTTTTTCTTTTGGGAGTTGTGTCCACTCGTTTGTCGATTTTCATTCTTAACCAGAATAGGGGTTTGTTTTGTGGGGGGCCCCCTCAGAGAGGCACGAGGAGCAATCGCCTATAGAAATCCCCGTGTGGTTGGAAGCATTCTATGTCTGCCATCGACTGGGTCAGGCACCCAGAAAGGTAAGCGCCCCAAAACAAACCCCCTATTCTGGTGAAAACATTGTTAAAAAGAGCTGAATGAGTGGACAGAACTTCCCAAATGAAAATAAGCAAACTAGTAGGACTGATCTGGTTGATCAGTCCAGCAACCAGGAGGCCTGATCGACGACCAGGCTGCGGGGACGCTAAGCCCCGAAAGCACCTCAAGGTAGTATGACGTCACTACGTTGCCGCGCTTCTGCCTGCGTAACCCCCCACCCACTTCCCTAGGTGGGGCAAGGGGGAGCCCCAGACCTTCATGCTGCCTACCCACCCTTCAGTTCTTAAGGCTGGATGTCAAAAACACGAAAAACCACCGACCAGAGGGAGGAAGGGTTGCCGGGGAGCCTCCGGGTCTCACAGAGAAAATGGTGTTTCATTGCATTCAACGCTGGTTTTCTGGGGGGAGCCCCATCGGCTCCCTGGAGCTAACTACCCAAAGACAAAAACAAAAATGGGGACTTACCCGGGAGGGAGTCAGCCTTCGCTCCTCAACGCGAAGTCAAGACAACTGGCTGAAAACCGCCGACCCAATGCGACACAGGCCCTTCGAAGCCCAGGAACATAGAAAAGGTAGTGAGCGGCCAGGACCCTGTTCGACCTCCAAAAATTCCGTGCCCAAATGTCAACCCAAAACATGTTACCAAAAACGGCAGCCAAGGCAGCAAACTTCCGAACATCATGGGCACAGGAATTGACCCCAGGCTGACTAGAACCGATAACCCTGTGGACGACCTAGGAGACCTGCGCCCTGGAACACAGAAGAAGGGAAACTGGGTCAACCCAAAGCGTGTCCCTGGCCACCAAAGCTGTGGTGCGAATATAACGGTGAAGTGCTGCAACTGAACACAACACATGATACCTGGTTGATACCTGGTTGATGGGGTTCTGGGAGTTCTTCTACTCCCCAAGCCCGGCCCGAGGCCAGGCTCGACTTGTGAGAGTTTGGTCCACCAGGCTGTTGCTTGGAGCGGCCCGCAGGCCCACATACCCACCACAGCCCGGTTGGTCCGGCACTCCTTGGAGGAATAAATCTAGTTTCCTCTTGAAAATGTCCACGGTTGTTCCGGCAATATTTCTTATGCTTGCTGGGAGGACGTTGAACAACCGCGGACCTCTGATGTTTATACAGTGTTCTCTGATTGATGCACCGCCGGCTTGACCAACCAAGCATCAATAACCCAAGGACCCCTCCAGAAAGCAGCAGACTCATTCTTCATCAGAAAAGATGGAGACGGCTGCAAACGAACAAACCTACCACCCTAGAGAACTCAGCAGATGAGTCACGAGTGGTGACCAGCCCCAAAAAGCCAAGGACTGCATCGAACCCCAGTGGTTCAGGCAATGAACCACTGGGGAACAGTCCGTATGGAGCCTGATCGTCGATCCACAAGCAACCCGAACACTCCGGAGCGACATCTACACAGTCGCGAACTCCCGCACCGTGCTGTTAGCCCGATGGAAGGACAGACCCCACCTCCCCTGGCTGGCCCGGTGAGCACTGGTTACAAAGCTCCAGCCAAGAGATGACGCATCCGTGAACACATTGAGCAAGGGCTCGGGTAAGCGCCAAGGCACTGAACCCTGAAAAAGTCGAAGAGGAAGCCGGTGATGCAGCAACTGACGCAAAGCCTCTGGAGGCCAAACCCAGAGATCACGAGAGAGGCACAAGGGACGTCCCCAAAGGAATCAGAACAAATGGCAAAGCCATACCCGAACTGGTGGGTAGACCAGAATTGTAAAGTTCAGGCACCCGCACAAACTCTCGAGCAACTGCCAAGTGACTCGGGATCCCCTCAAAAACAGGCGAAGGCAAGAACACAGCAGACGCAGAGCGTCCAGAGGAAGAGACAAGGACGTGGTCAGAGTGTCCCACACAGGACCCAGCCAAGACTGAACGTGATAGGGAACCAGATGGGACTTTTGCCAGTTCACCAGGAACCTGAACCCGGCAAGCTGGGAAGAAAACAAACCCCTGGTGAGCAGACACGCGGACTGGCTGGGAGCCCACACCAGCCAGTCGTTGAGGAAGGCCAGAACCCGAACACCTTAAAGAAGTCGATGGGCCGTCGATGGGCCAACCCTGATGCCCCACCACAAAACCAAGCCAGTCCCTGATCCCCGGATGAATTGGAACGTGTCAATACGCATCCTTGAGGTCCAGGGACGCCATCCAAGTGCCCGGCTGCAACAGAAGACAGACCTGGGACAGAGAAGTCATCTGAAAGGAGGGGCAATAAAGCCACGGGTTCAGATGGGACAAGTACAGAATGAACCTGAGGTCCGTGCAGTCCCGTTTTGGAACCAGAAACAGGTGGGAACCCACCTGAGGGATGAGGTCGTTTCGACCACGCCCAAGCAAACCCACTCCGAGATGACCTGACAGAGTGCAGGAGAAGAGGTCTGCCCTATCAACCCTGATCCCCCCAACGAAGGATGGGCCACCCAATTCCGCCGCAGAGCGTTAATGGGATGAACCGCGAAAGGGCTGACGCCTCTTATGAGAACCAAGGTGGCACACAAATTGATCACCATGCCAACTAGAAACGGATGGTTCCGAAGACTGCGCCGGCACCGAATCTGGCACCACTGGGCTACCACAACAGGACGAACCACCGAGCCATGGCACGACCCCTCTGGGAAGGCCCCCAAGAGCCACCCTCCCCTTCCTGGAGAACCAAGAAGTCCGACATAGGATAACAACTAGATGAAGCTGCCTGCAGATACTGCACTACCACAGACTCTGCAAACAGCAACAAACAAAAGGGTGAAGACAACCTAAGAGCCAGGGCCCAAGCGGATTCCAAAGAAGAAGCTAGCACTGCCTGCCGACATGCGAGTCGAGAAGCAAAAAAACACAAAACCGCATCCCGCAGGATTGGCACGAACAGCTTCAACAATGCAGATGACGCATGCACCACTGAGGGCAACGCAAGGCCAAAGCCAACAGGCCATGCGTGTTCAAGTTCTCCGCAACCAATGCAGCTAAAAGGGAAGGAATCTGCACATGAAGCTGCACCACACCAACATCCCACGGAAGGGCAGGGGCAAACAAGCACGCATTGAGATGCTCAAAATCATCCCCCCCTCCCCCCCAGGAAAACCAGCAACATCATGTGAGCTACCTAACACTCAAGTGTGCCGGATCGACAGAACATTCCAAGCCTCCAACGAGAAGAGAGGGTTGTCTGCCGACCAGGAAGACTTCGAAATCTTGTAACGAATTCAGTAAAGAGACGACAATCCATACACGAAAGAATTCGGATCCATTACGAAGGCATAATCTGGGTCGTGCAGGAGGTAAGCCACAATGGCCTCCCACACCACATGGGGCAGGATGCGGGCGGCCAAAAACCTCCGGAAAGACTGAATCGACGAAGCCATGGGAACCGGGGAGGGGTAGACGCCAAATCCAATTCGAATGAGGAGGGAGAATAAGAGAACCCCACTCTTTGTAACACCAAGCCCCGCTTCGCGGATTAAAAAACCCAGGAGGGGTACAACGGGGCCCAAGGTCCTCAAAGTCAATCCATCTTCTGCCCCGGGAACCTCACCCCGAGGACCCAAGGTGAGCTGTTCTCCAAACCTCTCGCCTCAAAAGAAAAGGCAGGAGCCGCCAAAACAGCAGGAACGAAGGAGGCCCACTTGTCAGACCCAGAAGCTCTGGCTGGAGGACCAGGCTCGAATGCCTCTGCTGCCACCCCGGAAGGGGATTCATCCAAAACTGCCAAAGTCTCAACATCAACTAAACTTGCTTCGACACCGAAATCCCTCAGATGCTTCAGGGCGGGAAGCAAAGGGGGGAGGACCAGGACACACAACAGAAGGGAATGGAATAGGGGGTGCGGGCGGAACCAAAGCCGAGGTGACTAACACCCCTAAGTCTGGGTCCCTATAGCCAAAGCAGGGCAGTCTCAGGGCATCCGGGAAAGCAACCAACTTCTCGCATTGCAGAAACCTAAACCTAGCATGCAATGCTGAAGCTGCCTGCACCTGCATATGATCATCAGTAGATTGGGTGAACTGGATTACATATAAGCAACATAACTCGCACGACTCCAGGTGAAAAGTATCACTGACCCAACAGGCAGCATTGCGGAGGCACAACCGATGATTGTCACCCCTGAGACAAGGGGGACAGAGCAGCCTTCCGACTTGCATGAAGCGACAGGGGGCCCAAGGGTTGCATCCATTGGACTACAGAGTCCCCGCGGGGTTTCCCAGGGCCCTTAGATGTGGTATTCCGCTAAGGGAAACCCAGGCAGGGTACTGCTAGCTGGCGCCCAAAACTACCAAGCTAACTGCTAAAGCTGAACCCCCAGGATGTGTATACTCATGGGGAGGCCTAGCAGAGAACCACCAAAGAACAATAGGGTTTGACTAACCCAAGAGGCAGACTCCCCACCAGGCAGCTAAACAAAAAGAAAAAGAAAAACCTGCAAGAGGACAATGTACCCAGGCGAAACAGAGCCGGCTGCTATGTGAGGTGATAACTACCAGCACAATACCCTGTGCCCCTACCAATGATGAAAACTAACCTCTACCAAGAGACAAACAGGGGGAACACAGAAGCCCCAGATGACTCCAAGGGCGGTCAATCACCGAGCAGCAAAAGACACAGTGGAGGTAGATCCCAAGGCGACTTGTGGAAGGTGGCCCCAAGCCCCAAAGGCAGTACTTACAGGGCACCTAGGGAAGGAAACCCTAGGCGCTTGCAGCCCGAGTACTGAAGAAATTACTCCTGGCTCATACACCGACAGTAGATACACCTCACACCACAAGGCACAGAAGTGAAACAATTTTCTGGAGCCAGAGGCACACAACCTTGCCAGTATCACATCAGCCAAGAACTGAAGGGTGGGTAGCTGGCGTGAAGGTCTGGGGCTTCCCCCTTCCCCCTCCTGGGGAGGGGGGAAAGAGGTTGCAGAGACAGCGGCACAAGCCGACGGGGCTCCCCCAGAAAATGAGGCACTACTATGCACCTATGCAAAACATCCAGGCTAAGGAGAGCCATAGTGATGGTACCCAACAGAGACGCCAATTGGGAGTTTTCTGTATCAATGCAAGCAAAACTTAGCACCCAGGTCAGATCCAAAAACACTCCCAAGTAAATCTCTAGGTAAAAAAACATCTGACTTAAGTGACTCAGCCTTCATAGAGCTGTGGCAGTCAGCTGGGTGGATGTCAGACACAGTGAAATTGGACATCCTCCCTGACCTAGTGGTAGCCAGTTTGCTGGGTAGTTTGCAGTATTAATGATCACTTCAAGTAAGTTTGAAAGTTTGATGATTTCTTTGGTATAATGAATGGTATTTCTTGGTGCTGTGCTCGAGTTTTGCTCTCTACTGTCTCCCCATCCCAGAATGTGCACCAAGATCATTTTCAATTTACTTGCCATGGTGGGGCTGAAAGTCAAAGGGAGCCAGTTGTGTGAGCAGTATAATGGGTGAACCCTGGCTCTGGGTTGAAGTTATAACCTATGATGTTTTGTTCAGAAATCTCATCAACTAACACTGACAGTTAGTGAAAGTTAAGATTTGTCTACAATATTGAATGCTTATTTAGAAATCTACTGTTAATGATTCAGCAACTATTACCAGTTTTTCAAAGGACTGTAAATGCCGAGCTAAATGTGACCAATTCACGATGGAATGCAATGGTATTATGACCATGCGCATATATATGGTAGGAACATATGGTATGATGATCAAGCACAAAACTATGTATTAAACGCTACAAAGTAACTTCTCTGACACCAACCTTTCTACAAAGAAGACTGTTCCAGCCCAAAGCATGGTTACAACGACCACAATTCAATGCTACTGTTGTGGACTGCTGGTTCTGCTGTAACACTGAAGGAAGGCCCTCTGAAATAATTTTCATAAGATATAAATTTTTCCTCTACAAATCAAAGTACAAGAAGTAAAATGGAGATTTGAAGCCATGACATAAGAGACTTTGAACAAAATGGTCTTGGGTTTCAATCCCATCACCACTTCTTATAAAGTATTTTACCACACTACCTTTTATATACAGTATTTAGTAAATTTATTAGAATTTTTACACACACAGTACAAGTAAACAAACTGTCAAACTTCACTAATGAGGGGATGACAACATCTTACAAAAATCAAGCATTAAATGTAGCAAAATTATGTTTTTTTTATGGTGCCCTCAGTAGGTTTCCTGCACTAAGCGATGGTGGAGCCATACCTTAAGGAGACATACCAGGCCTCCGAGACCCATCCTGAATTACCCTAAGTTGGGATCAGAATCTGGGGCCAGATTCACGAAGCAGTTATGCAAGTACTTACGAACGTGTACATCTTTTCTCAATCTCTGATTGCTTTGGTTACATATATTAAACAGTTTACAAGCATGAAAACTTCTCAATCACCTGTTGTTATTGTTATAAACAGCCTCCTGATGCTTCGGAGCTCATTAACTGCATAATAATTGTAAACAAGGCCGCCAAAGATTGAGAAAAGATGTACAGGTTCATAAGTGATTACGTAACTGTTTCGTGAATCTGGCCCCTGGTTCACTATGAGGTGAAGGAAGTTTGGGGAAAAAAGATTTACCCAAAACCAAGAACCCCTCCCCCTCCACCAACAGAAAGCAGGAGCACAACAAGTCGCTGCTTGAATGAAATTATAAACCTGAAAGTAAAAATGGAAAAAGTTGTTACAAAAATATAAACATGACAACATTGTTGTACACATCACTAGGTTTCAACCCAGATCACCTGCAGTTTTAGCCAGCCAATACTACTCACTAGCAGTCTGGAAGAGACGCCAATCACTCCACAAGAAAGAAGAGAACAGGGTGAGGACAAGAAGCTACCAAGGGCCCCACCAGAAAAAGGAGTTTCATTAATTACAATGTTTGATTTTTGGGAGGGCCATTTCAAAGAGCCCACAGTTCTTTTTTTTTTTTTGAAGGGATATTCCTGTGCAGGCCTAAGACACCTCTAAGGTGTCCCTCAGGTGTTAACTCCTCTAAGCTGGCCTCTAAGTGTTATTCATACAGGCATACAGCTCTGGAACATCCAGGCACACAGCTGGAAGTTTTGATGGAACCAGTTCTCACTACACTGGAGGAAAAAAGGAATAGGTCAGACATGAAAATGACATACAAGATACCAAGGGGGACTGTCAAAGTAGATATAGAGGTAAAGTTCAAATTAAGGAACAGTAGAATGAAAGGACATAATTGGAAATTGAAAACACAGATGAGTCACAAAGTTACCAGAAAGAACTTTTTAGTCTAAGGGTCATAACTAAGTGGAAAGCACTAGGTCAGGAAGTTCTCGAAACTAATTCGATACACAATTTTATATGTAAATATGAGAAAAAAAATGAGTGAAGAGTCGCTGAATTAAACTAAAAATGGTTGACAGGCAGGGCTTAAGAGCAGATGATTGACCCTGCAAACACAACTGTGCCAGTACAACTAGGTGAACACACACATTTATTGTTGTTAACTCATAAAATGTCAAGACACATGATTTACCTGCAAGCTGAATAACTTGGTTGGAAACATTCCACAACTGGAAACGTTGTAGGAGGTCAATATACGACAGAAACCAATGTTCAACCTGGTCAGGGTCCAGAAGCTCCTGCAAAAAACCAGCATTGAATGTAATGAAATGCCATTTTCTGGGTGAGACCCGGAGGCTCCCCAGAGCTATCTGGGCTGATATGGATATATTAGACTTTGGCATCAGTCATATGAATGGAGTTCTTAGGTCTACCAGGGACCACGAGTCAGAACCTGGCCACGTCAGAGAGGCATGAGGAGCAATGGCTTTGGAATTCCATGTCTGCCAATGATTGGGTCAGGCACACAGAAAGGTAAGCGCCCCAAAACAAACCTCTATTCAGGTTAAAATATTGCTACTGAAAGCTAAACTAGTGGACAGAATTTCCCAAATAAAAACGAGCAAACGAGCACGGCATCACGTCACCGCGTCATTGTCTGCGCAACCCCTCCCCAGAAGGGGGAAGGGGGAGCCCCAGACCCCTCACACCGGATATCCACTCTGCAGTTCTGAGGCTGGATGTCAAAATCCGCGAAAAAGAAAAAAAACGCCGATTGGAGGGAGGGAGGGAGGGTTGCCGGGAAGCCTCTGGGTCTCACCCAGAAAATGACATTTCATTACATTCAACGCTGAATGTCTCAGAGGAGAAAACCTTCTGCTTCCCAGAGCTACTTACCAAAAGACAAAAACAAGAGGGACTTACCCGGGAGGTGGTCGGCCCTCACTCCTCGACGCGAAGTCGAGACAACTGGCTGCAACTGCCTACAGAATGCGACAGGTCCAGGGACACTGACAAGGTAGCGAGCAACCAAGACCCTGTTCGACATCCAAAAACTTCGTGCCCGAATGTCAGCCCAAGAAACGTTACCGAAGATAGTAGGCAGTGCAGCAAACTTACGAACGTTGTGGGCACAAGGATAGACCGCAGGCTGGCGAGACCGAATAACCCTACGGGTGACCTGGGAGACCCGAGCCGAGGAACAGGGAAGGAGGGAAACTGGGTCAACCCAAAGCACATCCCCGGCCACCGAAGCCGTGATGTGTAAATAACGAGGGAGAGCCACAACCAGACACAACACATGATGCACCCCTGGCCTGACCAACCAAGCATCAACAACCCAAGGACCCCTCCGGAAAGCAGCAGTCTCATTCTTCGCCAGAAAAGAAGGAGATGGCTTCAACCGAACAAACTTACCACCAGGACTGAAGGAGCAGAAACCCCTGCACCAGAGGAGAGCATGAAGCTCCCCGACCCGACCTCCAAGAGGCCACTACAAACTGAGGAGAAGAGAGAAAAGAGAACACCTGGTCCAAAGTCCAGGTCAGCTCAGGAGGAGCATGAGCAGGTTGGAGGTGAAACAACGCATGAGACAGCTTGCAGAATGGTGCAGAAGTAGCATCAATACTGAATGCAAGCTGGAGTGGCTCCGCCAGTGCTACACGATATGAGGCAACAGTATTTGGCATAAGATGATGGTCCTGGAACAACCACGAAAGGGAGGACAAGACAATCCTATCAGAGGCCAAAGTACACCTATGCAGTGATAGGAAATCGGAAGGACCACCAGGAAACTTCATACTGCCACTGAAACGAAGCACGCAGGTGGGAGACCAACAAAGAAGCCACCTGTGCCCCCATACAAGTGATGATTGACTCGAGTCAGAAACTCCAGACGCGATGACTCAAGGAGAAGAAGGAACCAGCCTTGTACCGAGCTGGACCAATCTGCTGAAAGAGGCGGAGCCGTGGGAAGACCCTCGGGTTTGAACACCGAGTAAGTAGCGCCTGAAATCAAGGCTGGGTCAGCCATCAAGAAGCCAGAAGGCCAACTCTTCCCTGGTAAGTCTCCAAGAGAGCCAGGACTTGGAGCAACAGCTGAACCGGGAAAAAGAGGTACAGGTAAACCCACCTCACCCAATCCTGCCAGAAGGCGTCTACCCCAACGGCCTTGCAGTCGGGGAAGGGAGACGTATACCGGGAGACGCCTTGACCGGAAGATATCCACTTCTGGAGACCCGAACATCTGGCAGAGCCAACTGAATGACTTGGCGTCGCCTGTCCATTCCGTGGACAGTGGAATGGTCCGGAACAGGCCATCCGCCAGGACATTGGATACCCCCTGAATGTGAACCGCCAGGAGAGTCAAACCCCAAGAACTCAGCAGATGAGTCACCCAAAGCGACCAGCCCCAAAGAGCCAAGGACTGCATGGAACCCCCTCGATTCAGGCAATGAACCACTGGGGGAACAGTCCGAATAGAGCCGGATTGTAGATTTGTGAGTGACCCGAATCCTCTGGAGCGACATCCACAGTCGCGAACTTCTGCACCGTGCTGTGAGCCTGATGAAAGGGCGGAGCCCACTATCCGAGACCGGAAGAGTGCTCATCTGGCTGGCCTGGTGAGCAATAGTCACAAAGTCCCAGCCATGAGATGACTGGTTCATGAAGACATCGAGCGAGAGGCTCGAGTAGGCGCCAAGGCATTGCACCCTGAAAAACTAAACGAGGAAGCCGATGACGCAGCAACCATCATCGCAAGAGAGGCGGAAGGGACGTCCCCGAAGAAATCAGAACAGCCGACGTAGCCACACCCGACCCGACGGGTAGACCATCACGGCAAAGTCCAGGCTCCCACACAAACTCTCAAGTAACTGTGACACTTCCTGGGAGCCCCTCAGGAACAGACGTAGAAGGGAACGCAGACAAAGCAGAGGCGCTAGAAGAATTGACAAGAAAGTAGTCTGAGCGACCCCACACAAGACCGAACCTGAGAGGGAACCAGACGGGACTTCTGCCAGTTCACCAGGAACCCAAACCTGGCGAGTTGGGAAAGAGCCAACTTCCTGGTGAGCAGACACATGACTGGCTGGGAGCCCAAACCAGCCAGTCATCAATGTAGGCCAGAACCTGAACACCTAACAGATGCAGGCTTGGCCACCACGACCTGAGTAAGGCGTGTGAAAACCCGAGGCGCCAGATTCAAGCCAAATGGAATGCAAAAAAGTGGTAACCTTGATGCCCAACAACAAAACCGAGCCAGTCCCTAAACCTCGGAAGAATTGAGATGTGCCAATACGTGTCCTTGAGGTCCAGGGACACCATCCAAGCACCCAGCTCCAACTGAAGACGGACCTGGGACAGAGTAGTCATCCAAAAGGAGGGTTCAGATGGGACAAGTCCAGAATGAACCGGAGGTCTATGCAGTCCTGTTTTGGAACCGGAAACAGGTGGGAAACCCACCTGAGAGACAAGGTCGTTTCGACCACACCTAAGCGAACCCACTCCGAGATGACTCGACAGAGCACAGAAGAAGAGGCCTGCTCCGACAGTAATGAACCCCCTGAAGGAGCAGCAGCCACCCAACGCCACAACTGACCTCATGAAATGACCCAAAAGACCCACTAATTGTGGGACCAGGCATAAGTAAACAGAGCGAGCCTCCCCCCATCGCCCTGTCAATGGGACGAACAGCGAAAGGGCCGAAGCACCTCACGAGAACCTAAGTGGCATACAGGACGATCCTCTCGTCGACCAGCAAAAAATGGAACCGAAGGCTGCATCTGCCTCGAATCTGGTACCACTGACCTATCACGACAGGAAGAACCCCGAGCCCTGGCACGATCCTTCTGGGAAGCCTCCCGGAGGACTATCAAGTCCGACATAGGATGGCAACTAGCCGAAGCTGCCTGCAGACACTGCACAACCACAGACTCTGCAAACAGCAACGGACAAAAAAGGCGAAGACAACCAGGGCCCAAGCGAATTCCAAGGAAGACGCAAGCACCGTCTGCCGATATGCAAGTCGAGAAGCAAAATACCGCGAAACCACATTCTGCAGGAGCGGCCCGAACAGCTTCAACAATGCAGATGACAAATGTACCACTGAAGGCAATACACCAGACCCAGAGGTGGCCCCCAAGCTCCTCCACATTCAATTTAAGCCAATCAAAGGACAGCTCCAGGAGGGAGAAGAAACGCAGGGCTAAAGCCAGCAGGCCACGTGTACGCAAATCCTCCATGACCAAGGCAGCTGAAAGGGAAGGAACCTGCTCATGAAGCTGCATCACACCAATATCCTGGCAGAAGGGCAGGGGCGAACAAACATGCATTGAGATGCTCAAATTCGCCCCCATTAAAACCTGTACCCCTGTCTGAGCCTCCCTCCACTCAAGCACGCGGGACCAACAAAAGATGTGCCAAGCCTCCAACGAGAAGAGTGGGTAGTCTGCTAACCAGGACGACTCTGAAACTTCATAACAAACCCAGTACAGACACGAAGATCCATACACGAAGAAGCAAGAAATATTTGACATTCAGTACCTTCCTCCCTTGGGTAAAAGTGACCATGTCTTTTTGGGAATAATGTATGCAATGCATTATAATCTGGAAGAAAATAAGAAGGTTGATGCAATTGAAAAACCTGACTTTAGGAGAGGACATTATGGCAATCTTAGAAATTTTTTTAGTGAGTATAATTGGACAAACTTGTTGCTAGGTAAGGAAGTGAATGAGATGTATGTCAAGTTTTGTGAAATATATGATAAAGGCACAAATTTTTTTATACCAAAACAGAGATGCAGAACTAGGAAACATGATTGGTTCAATAGAAATTGTGAGAGGGCCAGAGACCAAAAGACACAAAAATGGAATCAATACAGGAAGAGGCCAAACCTCCAAACATACCAGCGATACAAAGATGCAAGAAACAACTACACGGCAGTGAGGAGAGAGGCAGAAAGAAATTTTGAAAAAGGGATTGCAGACAAATGTAAAACAGAACCAGGTCTATTCTATAAATTCATAAACAACAAATTGCAGGTAAAGGATAATATTCAGAGGTTGAAAATGGGAAATAGATTCATGGAAAATGAAAAGGAAATGTGTGAAACATTAAACAAAAAGTTCCAAAGTGTATTTGTACAAAATGAAATCTTCAGGGAACCAGACACAATAAGAATTCCAGAGAACAACATAGAGGTGTCTAGAGATGAAGTGGAAAAAATGCTCAAGGAGCTAAACAAGAACAAAGCAGTTGGTCCAGATGGAGTTTCACCATGGGTTCTGAAAGAATGTGCACCTGAGCTCAACATTCCACTTCAATTGATTTCTCAGGCATCCCTGTTTACAGGAGTTGTAGCTGATGTGTGGAAAAAGGCTAACATAGTTCCAATCTACAAAAGTGGAAGCAGGGATGACCCCCTTAATTATAGACCTGTATCATTGACAAGTTTAATAGTCAAAATATTAGAAAAAATAATTAAAACTAAATGGGTAGAACACCTGGAGAGAAATGATATAATATCAGACAGACAGTATGGTTTTCGATCTGGAAGATCCTGTGTATCAAATTTACTCAGTTTCTATGATCGAGCAACAGAGATATTACAGGAAAGAGATGGTTGGGTTGACTGCATCTATCTGGACCTAAAAAAGGCTTTCGACAGAGTTCCATATAAGAGGTTGTTCTGGAAACTGGAAAATATTGGAGGGGTGACAGGTAAGCTTCTAACACAGATGAAAAATTTTCTGACTGATAGAAAAATGAGGGCAGTGATCAGAGGCAATGTATTGGACTGGAGAAATGTCACAAGTGGAGTGCCACAGGGTTCAGTTCTTGCACCAGTGATGTTTATTGTCTACATAAATGATCTACCAGTTGGTATACAGAATTATATGAACATGTTTGCTGATGATGCTAAGATAATAGGAAGGATAAGATACTTAGATGATTGTCATGCCCTTCAAGAAGACCTGGACAAAATAAGTATATGGAGCACCGCTTGGCAAATGGAATTTAATATTAATAAATGCCATGTTATGGAATGTGGAATAGAACATAGACCCCACTCAACCTATATATATTATGTGAGAAATCTTTAAAGAATTCTGATAAAGAAAGAGATCTAGGGGTGGTTCTAGATAGAAAACTATCACCTGAGGACCACATAAAGAATATTGTTCGAGGAGCCTATGCCACACTCTCTAACTTCAGAATTGCTTTTAAATACATGGATGGCGATATACTAAAAAATTTGTTCACGACTTTTGTTAGGCCAAAGCTAGAATATGCAGCGGTTGTGTGGTGCCCATATCTTAAGAAGCACATCAACAAACTGGAAAAGGTGCAAAGACACGCTACTAAGTGGCTCCGAGAACTGAAGGGCAAGAGCTACGAGGAGAGGTTAGAGGCATTAAATATGCCAAAACTAGAAGACAGAAGAAAAAAAGGTGATATGATCACTACATACAAAATAGTAACAGGAATTGATAAAATTGATAGGGAAGATTTCCTGAGACCTGGAACTTTAAGAACAAGAGGTCATAGATTTAAACTAGCTAAACACAGATGCAGAAGAAATATAAGAAAATTCACTTTCGCAAACAGAGTGGTAGATGGTTGGAACAAGTTAGGTGAGAAGGTGGTGGAGGCCAAGACCGTCAGTAGTTTCAAAGCGTTATATGACAAAGAGTGCTGGGAAGACGGGACACCACGAGTGTAGCTCTCATCCTGTAACTACACTTAGGTAATTACGAAGGAACACGGATCCATCACGAAAGCATAATCTGGGTCGCGCAGGAGGTAAGCCGCAAGGGCTTCCTGCACCACATGTGACGGGGCTTGGGAAGCCAAAAATCTCCGGAAGGACTGGATCGAGGAACCCACGGGATCACGAAACCAAATCGGGAAGGGGTAGATGTCAAACCCAATTCGTACGAGGAGGGAGCGAAAGATAACCACCCTCCATTTAACACCAAGCCCCACTCCAAGGGTACAAAAACCCAGATGGGGTCCAACTGGGTCCAAGGCCCCCCAAGTCAACCCCTCCCCCACCCAGGAATCCTCACCCCAAGGACTCGGGGCTGAGCCGCCCTCCAAACCCACTGCCTCTAAAGAAAAGGCATGAGCAGCCGAAAAAGCAGGAATGAAGGGGTCCACTTGTCAGACCCAGAAGCTCTGGCTGGAGGACTAGGCTTGAATGCCTCTGCTGCCACCCCGAAAGTAGACTCCCAAGACCGCCCTAATCTCAACACCAACTAAACCTTTCCTCGACTCCGAAACCCTCAGACAATTTGGAGCCGGAAGCAAAGGGAGGGTGGAGGGCACCGGATGAACCACTGAAGGACAAGGACAAGGAGGGGCAGACAGAATCAAAGTCAAAGCAACTTTCACCCCCAAGTCAGAGTCCCTATAACCAAAATGGGGCAGTCTCGGGGCACCCTAACCCGAGCATTCAATGCCTCTGCTGCCTACACCCTCAACATTGCACAACTCTGGGTCAGAAGAATCACTGACCCGACAGGAAGCATGGCGGAGGAACAACAGGTGATTGTCACCCTGAGACAATGGCACCCAAAACTACTGAGCAAACTTCTAAAAGCTGAACCCCCGGGATGTGTCCACTCACGGGGTCCTGGCAGAGGGGTACCACCAAAAACACAGAGATGTATATAAAAAAAGACCCCAATTGTAGAAAGGGGGCAACCAACCAAAGGCAGACCCCCCACCAGGCAGGGAAAACAAAAACCCCTGCAAGAGGACATTGTACCCAGGCGGAACAGTGCCGGCTGCTATAATAGGTGATAACTAGCTGTGCAGTACCCCGCGCCCTTACCAGTGACAAAAACTACCTCCTACCCAGAGGCAAACAAGGGCAACAAAAACCCCAGCTGACTCCAAGGGCTACCAAGTACCAAGCAGTAGATGACACAGCAGAGGTAGATTCCAAGGTGACTTACAGAAGTGAGTCACCTTGTAAGTACTTTAAGTACTGCCCCAAGCCCCAAGAGCAGTACTTACAGGGCACCTAGGGAAGGAAACCCTAGGCGCATGTAACCAAGGACCGTAGAATATTACTTCTGGTTCACACACCACCTGTAGAGACAGACCATGCCACAAGGCACAGTAACTGGAATCAAAACAGGAGCCAGAGGCATATGACCTGCCAGTATCACATTAGAAAAGATTGGATCAAGACTGTTGGATTGCCGGCACGAGGGTCTGGGGCTCCCCTTTTCCCTCCCGGGGATGGAGGGGGGATTGCACCGACAGCGGCGCGGCAACGTGATGACATCATGCTCGTTTGCTAATTTTCATTTGGGGAGTTCTGTCCCACATGTTTGGCTTTCGGTGGCAATACTTTAACCAGAATGGGTTTTGGTTAAAGTATTGCCACCGAAAGATAGGCACCCCAAAGTATTGGTTTTGGGGTGCCTATCTTTCTGGGTGCCACACCCGGTCGATGGCGGACATAGAATGTTCCCAACCACACGGGGGTTTCTATAGGCCATTGCTCCTCCTTGCTCTCTGAGGGGGCCAGGTTCTGGCTTATGGTTCCCTGTAGGGAAGAACTCCATGCACATTAACTGATGCCAGAGAACTAATATATCCATATCAGCCTGGATAGCTGCGGGAAGCCAACAGGACTTTCCCTCAGAAACTATGGTTTTATATAGCAAAAAATCTAAAATATAATTTTAGAGTAAATAAAAGGTAAACATAATTTTATGCAGAAATAAAACATGTACAAAAACGGCTAAAAATTTTCCCATGACTGAACAGAGTATATATTATAAGGTACCTTGAGTCTGTCACCAAGAACAATAACACACGTCACAGACATTTGGACATCACCATGATTGGCATAGTAGTAAAGCATTTCTACCACAAGCTCAGAGCATCCCCAAGCTGGCATCTCAGTCCCTCGCACCTCACTCAGTAGTGAAGGAGTTTCCATCACATAGCCAGAAACACCGCCTAACAAAAAAACAAAAACCTTATTAAGTGACTTGAAAAACACAAGTTTGGAGGGAATGATGATGAAAATATATAGAATGACTTGTCTAATCTATGAAAGGATGCATAAATTATATATTTATTCATCTTAATATGAAGCCATAACCAAGGTATACAGGGCAATTTTCCACACTAATCATATATTCTTTCTTTAATCTGTTATATTCCTGTAACATAACCTATTATTTATTAACTTTTTTCCTTGCAGAGAGCAGATCAAAGCCTATTAACAGCTATTCATAAATTGCAAATACAAATATAAATTCACAAACAGAATTAAGCATTGGATGTAATGAAATGACCTTTTCAGGTGGGCTACTTCAAGCTATAGCACAGGGGCCGTAGGAAACTGCACCAGGCTTCTGAGACCCACCTAAGGCTACTGGGTGCAAGGACCATAACCTGGCTCTCTATGAGGCATGGGCAGATTTGGAAGACATCAACTAAAAAAAAAAACTAGCATTGAATGTAATGAAACACCATTTTCTGGGGAACCCGGAGGCTTCCTGGAGCTATCAGACTGATATTAGCAATATTAGTCTATACCATCAGTCATATGGAGTTCTTATGCCTACTGGGAACCATGAGCCAGAACCTGGTTCCCTCAGAGAGGCGTAGAGAGCAATGGCCTATGAAAACTTCACTCTTATAGAGTATATTTATGTCTGCCATCGAATGGGCTAAGGCACCCAGAAAGGTAGGAGCCCCAAAACAGACCCCTAAGAACTCCCGAGAAGAAAAACAAGGTAACAAGCAAATCCTCATCAAGGTAACAAGCAAAGTGAGCGACTTGCATCGCTCGTTTGTGCTGCCCCCCCCCCCTTCCAATGAAGGGGGAGCGGGAGGCCCACGGCCGACTAAGACGCCGCTACACCGCCAGTTTGGAGACTGATCAATCAGAAACAAAAACTGCTGACCAGAGGGAGGGAGGGTGCCAGGGAGCATCCGGGGCTCACCCAGGAAATGGCGTGTATTACATTCAATTTTGGTTTTCTGAGGGGAGCCCCGTCGGCTCCCTGGAGCTAGATACCCAAAGATAAGTAAAAGAGGGACAACTTGAACAGCATTGTGTTCACCGATATTTGAACATTATACAGTCTTTATCACAGTCAGGTTCTTCTGTAATACTATCATGGCTAAAAAATACCAGTTATATATATATTTTGGCATTTTTAGGCCATGCTGTTGTCACAAGCTGAACAGCAGTGCTGTTAGCTCATGCTGCCTGTGCAAGCCATGGTTGCTCACTCAGTACTGAGACTCACACACCTGGGAATGTTGCCCACGATTTTTAAAAAATGGCGTCTGTTTACAAGAGCCCTGAGGAAGCCGAGGTGAACCCCGTGTAGCTGCGGAACTTTTAAATCTTGGTACTCCCAACCATACATAGCTGTGGTGTGCTGTCCCCCAATAGTTACTCACCACAGTTATATATGTATTGCACTCTTAAAGTGTTAACAACTGATTCATTGATGATTTAATGACTGATTAATGACTAGTCATTAATTATAATTCTGGCCAAGATAGCCTTTTACTCCAGTGACTTCCTAGCACCTTTAATGACCATGCAGCGATATTTTGAAAAGATCCATGTTGTGCCAATGCCATAATGTTGTCCTGAATGAGTGTCCTGTGTAACAGAACACAGCAGATTCTTACCTTAGGAAGCAACTAACTGTGAAAGCCCAGATATAAAAGTGAAAGTCAACTTCATTCGCTGGAGACCCTTGATGACCCACTCAAAATGGTTAAACTGTCCAGGTTTGGGTTGTGAGTCAGGGATTAATTATGAACCACTGCTCTATTGGAACAATACTAGGTGTTGTTCCAGTCAACAAAATCTGATCTGATCTTAAGAGAGCGTAAGGAAACTTTGCAGAATAATAAGCAAGAAAACACCATTAGGTATCTCTACTGTAAGTACCTAAATTTACTTACCAGTGTCCTGAATTTCTCTAGGTGAACACTTCGATGAAAATTCCTGTAGTGGAATAGCTGATCTGTGCAAAATATCGTGACGTGGCTCAAAAGCTTCATTAGGAAGTGTCCAGTCTTGACTAGTGTCCATGTTATTGAGATTGTCATAATCAAAAGGTATTTGGTTAATTTCACCATCCCCAAAGAAAAAGTCCTGGTTAATTGTCATACCACTGTATAAAAGAAAAAGTCCTGGTTAATTATCATATCACTACAAAGAAATATATATATAAAATTAAATGACATACAAAAGTCCAAAAGTACAAAGGCAATAAGCAGATATGGATAGACAGAATGATTTGAAAAATTAAGAAAAAACAAGCATTGAATGTAATAAAACGCCATTTTCTGGGTGAGCCCCGGAGGCTCCCTGCAGCTATCGGACTGATATATGCTATATTAGTCTGGGGCGTTAGTTAATGGAGTTCCGCCTACCAGGGACCACGAGCCAGGACCTGGCCCTCCCTCAGAAAGGCACAGGGAGCAATAGCCTATAGAACCCTCCCCCCCATGTGTTTGGGAGCATTCCGTGTCTGGCATCAACCAGGGTTAGGCGCCCAGAAAGGTAGGCATAACAAAACAGACCCTACTTGGTAAAAAATTAGAACTGAAGACCGAACAGAGGCAAAACTCCCCAAAACTTTAAGAAACAAGCAAACAAGCAAACGTCATACACCACCACCGTGCCACTTGTCCAAGCCCGCCCTTTCCTCCCTGGGAGGGGGAGGGGAGAGCCCCAGACCCCCAGTGCCAGCTACTCTCACCTCCATTCAGAGGCTAAGCATAAAAAAACAAAACCGCCAACCAGAGGGAGGGAAGGTGCCACGGAGCCTTCAGGCTCACCCAGAAAATGGCGTTTCATTACATTCAACGCTGGTTTTCTGGGGGAATCCCCTCCAACTCCCTGGAGCTACCTAACCAAAGACAGGTAAAAGAGGAACTTACCCAGGAGGCGGGTGCCATGCGCACATCAACTTGAAGTTGAGACAACTGGCTGCAACCTGAGATCGAAAACTACACACAAACAACCAGAACCAGGAATACTGACCAGATAACGGGCGGTCAGGGCCCTGTTCGACCTCCTAAACCCCTCCCGTGCCCAATGTCAGACCAAGACATGTTGCCGAACACCACTGCTAAACTTATGAATTTCCTAGTACTGGGGGTGTCAAAACACATTTAACTTATGAATGTCATGGGCACAAGGGTAGACCACAGGCTGGCTAGACTTAATAGCCCTGCAGACGAAGAGGGAGACCCGAGCCCTGGAACAGGGAATGAGGGAGACCAGATCAACCCAGAGTGCATCCCCGGACACAGAAGCCGAGGTGCGCAGATAACGGTGAAGAGCCGCACCCGGACAAAGCACATGACCAACCAAGCATCAGCCTGACCAACCAAGCATCAGTGACCCCAAGGGCCCCCTCCGGAAGGCCGCCGTCTCGTTCTTCGCCAGAAATGAAAGAGATGAAATAGTAGGAGCTGCAAGCGAACTGTCAGGGGTTTTATCCATCGGATCAAAACTGAATGGCTGTCAGACTGCATGGTGGATTGTTAGCAGTCAGTTGATTATTTTTTATATATTATGATCTGATACTATACTACTTAATTTTTAGTTGATTTTCTTCTTTTTTACCTGGCTGTTGTCTGTTTTGGTTCACCCTACCTTTCTGGCAGTTTTTTCTTCAATTAAGAGTGATCTTCAATCCTCTGTTCCTTGTGCCTTTGTGAAGGGACCAGGTTTTGCCCTCTGGTCTCCAATAAGCTTTTTAGGACTCGCAAGGGACTGTTGTATATCGAATTGGTAGAGCTATCCAGGATGTAGCAACAGGGAACCATATATAGGGCTCTCTCAGAAAGTAGAAATAAATTTCCATTGGCCAGAAAATTTACTTGACATATTCGTGTTACAAGATGAAGGAGGCTTTATTATCTAAAATTGATATTAGGCTTTGTGTGTACCTGCAAATAATTGTCAGTTATAATTTTGATATGCAACTATTTATAAATAATTGCTCTGTCATATGTGACAATTGCTCTGTTATATGTGACAGTCAAAATGAAGATTGCATAATAAATTAATTTTGTGATTTTATGTTTTTATTTAGTATTGGATTAAGATAGGTTATGATAAATTTGCTCATACTTATATAGGCTTCAGATTTATTAAATACAGGGTTATTATAGAGAGATTTCACTTTACTACTCTCCTGGCAAGGTAAGCAAGGGTTGCCAAGGTTATGACAGTTTGAATGAAATACTGTTAGATTAATACTGAATATTGAATGAAATACTGAATGAAATACTGTTAGCATAAGAAAAAATAAAAATTTGTGAGATTGCAGAAGGTCTATATGCCCATTTGAGACAGTTCCTATTTACATCCGCCCCAAACTCATTCATCTCTATGTCTAACTTATGCTTGAAACAACAAAGCAATTTCACATCTATTGTGTCATCCAGCAATTAGTTTCATAAATCAAACATCCTATTTCCAAATCAATATTTATCCAGGTCTATCCATTCTAGCACTGGCTGAGGAATAATCAAGGGGACCTTGCTCATAAAGAAACTTGCATTTTAGAGCTTGAGAATTTGGAAATATAGGCCCGCCTTCAAATACTACAAGTCATAAGCTTTAGAGATAATTTGCTGAGAGGCAGAACTCACCTAGCAATATTAGTAAGCTTAAGGTCATGGTTGTCAGTATCATCGGTCTCAGTTTCCCCTTCCTCTGCACTAAAGCCTCCTCCAGATGTGTCTCCACCAGCATCACCCCCGGAGAAATGACGCGATGACCTGCATGCAAAAGGCTTACATTTTTAAGATGACATAAAGAAACTGCCCAAAAATCATTCACATTATTGAATCATAAATTAGAATAAAATATCCACTACATATTAAAAATATATACAGGCGCACCTCGGTTTACGTATTTAATCCGTTCCTGAAGATAGTTCGTAACCCGAAAATTCGTAAACCGAAGCAAATTTCCCCATAAGAAATAATGGGAAATGAATTAATTCGTTCCTGACTCCCAAAAAAATTCACTTCAGAGTAAATTTTATACCTAATTCACCCAAATCTTCACTACAAAAGTATGTACAAGCTATTACTGTACTTACTTTTACTGATGCTGTTAGCATATGGAAGACGGTGAGCAGGGGGAGGAGGAGAGGTATTACTGTTTGGAAGGGGAGTCCCCTTCCATTATAACAACAGGCAGTTATGACTTCTCTGGGGTACACACTCTGGCATATTTTGCCTGCATACCACTAGGACCTGCGTCTGGCTCACTGCATGATTTTCTCACTGTTTTTCTTGAAGATTGTTTTTCCCTTCTTTGTAACACTTGTCTGTAGTAAGACATCACATTGCCATTAATAAGTTTAATGCAATAGCCTGTTAACCCTTAACATGCTTGGGGTCTAATATCCTGCCATCCCCACAGGCGCATGTCATTTTGAAAAAAAAAAAAAAAAAAATTTCTGTTAATTTGTGTTCACTGATCACGGAAAAAATAATAAAAAAATCGTAAGTGGCATATATTGCCCGCTATAGGGCGGGGAAGTCTGGCAAATTATAGGCGCTGACTCAGAGTGTGTCCCAGGCAGTCTGTTGCTCGCAAGCTGTCAGGCCAGAGTTGCCACAAAGAGATAATTACCGAATTATTTCAATGTCTCTGATTGATTTTTCATACTTTTTTTGCTGTAATATTATTCAATAGTGTGTAGTTTGATATATTTATATAATAAAATGAGTGAATCGTTGGTGTACTCAAAAATATGGTGTGCATATTGTTGATTCAATTACAGTATGTTCATCAATCAGTGAACAAATACTTTGTCAGTTATTACACTATAAGCACAGGTTATATATAAGTATTTGCATGTTTTGTTCACTATAACGAACCACTAAGTAGCTATTATGAGTCAAAAAGTAATGAGGAGTGACCGCCGTGTACCAGCCAGCCACTCCCGCCCTCCCTCCAGTCATCTGACTCACCCTCATTCTCCTCCCACAATAATGTTTTTGCTATAATTCACTATATACAGACGTTATATATAAGTATCTACATGTTTTGTTCACCATAGCTGTGCATCTAAGCTTGTATGGTGAGTAAAGGCACAGAGATGTGGCTACTCACACAGTCAGCTGATCGGCGGCCGCCCTCAAGGTCAGACGCACTAATATTTCTCCTCCAACAATACTGTGTGGTGTTATTACGCTATATATCTTATATACAGATGTTATATATAAGTATCTACATGTTTTGTTCACCATAACTGTGCATCTAAGCTTGTATGGTGAGTAAAGGCACAGAGATGTGGCTACTCACACAGTCAGCTGATCGGCGGCCGCCCTCAAGGCCAGACGCACTAATATTTCTCCTCCAACAACACTGTGTGGTGTTATTACGCTATATACACACATTATATATAAATATCTACCTGTTTTATTCATCATACTTGTACAAATAAACTGGTATGGTGCCCAAAGACCATTGTGGTAACCAGTAAACAACACCGTCGTCTGCACGGTGGTGTCGTGCAGACGACGCCACCGCTCTCACCAAAATGGCGGCTCCAAACCTTCTCTTGCTGTTTATACCCTCTATACGCACGTTATATATAAGTATCTACATTTGTGTTCACCATAGCGAACCACTAAGCTGGTATGGTGAGTGCAGTCAATAAAAGGTGGCCACACACAGTCAAAAGACATCGCCACCACCCTCCCTCCCACAGCATTACACCTCCTTCCATGGCGCACAGCGCTAAATATCACCACAATCCTGCTATTATCAGAACCCTGGTCAGTTTTATCACAGTCCGGGGTCTTCTGTAATAATATCATCGCTACATAATAGCATGAACAAGTATAATTTGGCATTTTTAGGCGATGCTGTGGTCACAAGCTGAACAGCAGTGCTGTTAGCTCATGCTGTGTGCATCAGGCTTGGTTGCTCACTCAATACTGAGGCCAATAACACCCGGGAGTTTGGCCCACGATTTTTTTTTAAAATGGCGTCTGTTTACAAGAGCCCTGATGAAGGTGTGGTGAACCCCGTGTATCCGCGGGCTGTTTAAATCTTGCGTAGTACTCCAACACATCATATGACGTGATGCGCAGTTTACTGGTACAACGTCCAGCACGTCATATGACGTGATGCGCACTTTAAGGGTTAAAGCTTTATCTGGGTGATTCTTTTCAGCAAAACTTTGCAGTTCTTCCCATACTGCACACATTTTCTTAATTAATGAGGAAGGGACATCCTCTACGGCCTCCTCCTCCTCCTTTGAAGATTTGTTATACTGCCTAGCTAGTTCAACAACACGTGTACCATTTTCAAGTTTACGAATGATCTTTTGTTTTTCCTCTGTGGTCATTCTCACATGTGTTTTCTTGCCTTGAACCTTACCACTGGCTTTCTTGGGACCCATGGCGAGATGTATAATAACAACTTTTATGTTCAAATAGCCAAAAATCTCAAAAGAAATTGTAAATCCTTGCAAAAAAATCAGGCGGGATAGTTACTAGGCGGGAGGCAATGGGAAACGGAGGCGCGATCGCCGTGCCACCATGTGCTAGGTTGGCCATATGCGTATTAACAAACTCATATCCCGAGGTAAAAGTTCGTAACCCAATTAAAATTTTCCGAAGAAATCAGGCTTGTAACCCAAAAAGTTCATGAAGAGGGGCATTCGTAAACCGAGGTACCACTGTATTCATTTGTAATCTTTTTACAATACCAACATCATAAATAAACCACAATATAAGTCAAAGGCACCAAGTCCAATTATCCTTAACCAGCATTGAAAGAAACAATGCCTATGAATTAACTTTTTAACAGTAACACCAGACTCATATTGGGGTCCAAGACATGCAAGATTCACTCACTGCTACTGTGTCATGAGAAGCTACTATAGTATAATCATTATTGCCAAAGAATAGGCTGATTTTTCATGGGTTTATGAAGGCCCCAACATATACCACAATTAAGGTTTCCACTCAGGCACTACAGAAGCATTGTTCCATATGCACATTGTTAAACTGGAGTTTACAATGGCATAAAATAACTCTTGTTTTACAAATTATACTCATTCCACTATTTAATATGGTTTCTTGTAATACTCCAATGAAAACTTCAGTATAAGAGATGAGCCTGTAGGACAAGACTATGGTAGTTCCTGAATGAGAGGGAAGAACTATGTGAAATGTGGTACACATTGGTCTCTTCACACATCAAGGTAGAATTATTCCATTCTTAAGTTTTAACCTTCATAGTTCCACGTGATGGAGTGGCAACATGAAGGCCTTGTACATTGTTCAGCTATTTTTTTTTTTTAGTGATTAAAGATCCAAGTTGTCAGAAAAGATATTGGCTGGTAGTTTGTCCCACAAAATAACTGAAATGGAACAATAAGGCATCAGAATATTCAACTGATCTGTTGTTTCATGCCACTTTGAGCTTTACTTTGAGAAAACATGACTCGCTGCAAAAACTATTTACGAGTATCATAATAAAGCTCCCCAGGCCCTTAAATGTGAGAAATAGTAATAATATCCTATGAAATAGCTTTACAAAATATTACCAGATAAGATATTGGAGTACTTTGACATCAACGAAACATTAAACTGAATATTCATAGAACACCATTATATATATCTACTACTACCTCTGTTCATTTTCCAAGCTGGTGTCTGGCTGTATTGTCGGATCATCTCTGTTGGATCCCTGAAGACCTGACAAGTGATCACTACCACCAACACCCACATAGAGCATCTGTAGCATCTGCCATGTAAGTGACACCTAAAACAGAAAAGGAGACCTAGAATAAACAAATCCACAATGGCTGTGACGAGGATTCGAACCTACGTCCGAGAGCATCCCAAACGCTGCCTTAATCGACTGAGCTACAACATGGTATAAGAATTGCAACCAGAAATTCTGCATTCTCTCCGAGACATAAACCAGGATTTTACACAATTGATTTTTACAGATTTCATGAAGCTGATTATTCAAGTAAATTCAGTAGAATTTCTGGTTGCAATTCTTATACCATGTCGTAGCTCAGTCGATTAAGGCAGCGTCTGGGATGTTCTCGGACGTAGGTTCGAATCCTCGTCACGGCCCTTGTGGTTCTGTTCATTTGATGCATCACGCTATTGTGATTTCTGTGTGTAGAGACCTAGAATACCATCAATGATGGTTAATATAGCATTTACTATGAAAATTAAATGAGACATCTCAAGTCTCATCATCAAGTCCCTAAGATTCTAGGGCATCTGTCCAACATTGCTTGCATTATGGGAGAGTTAAATTTGAGAACAATAAACTGGATAAATAAAACAGGACATACTAAAGCAAAACGTTGTATGAATTGGGTTATGACTTTCTTATAAATACAGTACAGTATATTATGGAGCCAACACAGGAAAATAATATATTAAGACTTGCTGCTGGCCAACAAGGAGACACTAAAAATGATCAAAACAGGGAATGAGTTAGGGAATATTGATCATAAGGAAATCAGATTTAACATAGCATGGTAAAGAAGTGTGAGAAAAAAACTTTTGGCATCAGATTTCATGAAGCTGATTATACAGCCCATTCTCTTGACTTGCCACAATGTAAAAAATACAAAGTGCCAACTTAACTAGAAACCTATGAACCCATGCATCCCACTTAACCTAACCTACCAATGCATAGAAGCAAATGGCCCCTGCAGGAGAAAGTTCAAGGATGACCAGCACTTAGCTGAGAAGCAGTGGGACCTGCCACAGTGAACTGATGACCCAGGAGCCTTACAGTGAATGAACTGCACAATCAGCATCAGTGACAACTGGCTTCGTAGTCAAGAGGATACCAGAGGCTCTGGGTTCCCAACTAGTGGAGGATAGTGCTAATGAGCTCATGCTTGTTTTGAGAGATTCGATTGTTTGTTGAGGCGAGTTTTATTTGGTAGTTTTGAGGCATCAGTCTCTTAAAACCCAGCAGTAATCTATATTAGTTCACCGACTTTCTGGATGCTTTCTCGGTGGGATGGTGGCATGTCATCTGCTTTGTGCCTCTCTGAAGGAGGGCCCATGTTCTACTTCTGGTACCTGGTAGGCCAAACAACTCTACAGCTGATGTGACCTAGTAGTTGGAAGTTATCTCAGTGAGATACAGTAGCTTCAGGGCTGGTAGTTTGGCTGGTAGTTTGTATAAAGTTTGTATAAAGTATGTATATGTATATGTTTGTATAAAGTATAAAGGAAATTACCCAAGAAAGGACAACACTGCAGGAATGGACACAGAAGAAACACAACTATGAGAGACAAGAGGCGAAAGGAGCCCCAAGAAACTTCATTCTGTTGCTGCAACAAAAGACACAGATGAGATACCAACAACTCAACCCCCTGAGCACCATACAAATGGTGGTAGATTTGCGTTAGAAAGTCCAGACTTGTACATCGGCAGAGAACATCAAACCAACAAGGTACATCATTGGACTCTTCTAAAAGATGTTTGAAAATCCAGACAAAGTAACTCCCGTGGTTAACGATCTTTGCTGATGGTGGCAGGAATGAAATTCTGAAACAAGAGCCGAAGTGAAACTAAGCTACAAGGAACATACAAGGCGCTTGAAAACCACTTACAAAAAACCAGCGTTGAATGTAATGAAGCGCTATTTTCTGGGCGAGACCCGGAGACTCCCAGAAGCTTATCCAGGCTGATATGCTAATGTCAGACTTTGGCATCAGTCATGTGTATGGAGTTCTATGGGCCTACCGGGGACCACGAGCCAGAACCTGGCCCCCCTCAGAGAGGCAAGGGAAGCAATGGCCTATAGAAACCCCCCGTGAGGTTGGAAGCAGTCTATGTCTGCCATTGACCGGGTCAGGCACTCAGAAAGGCAAGCATCCCAAAACAAACCCCTATTATCGTGAAAATTGCTACCAAAAGCCGAATAAGTGGCTAGAACTCCCCAAAAAGAAACGAGCAAACGAGCATGACGTCACAGGTCGCCGCGCCGTTTTCTGCTCAGCTCCCCCTTCCCCGGGAGGGGGAAGGGGGGAGCCCCAGACCCCCACCCGGTTATCCATCATTCAGTTCTGAGGCTGGATGTCAAAACACACGAAAAAAATGCCGACCGGGGGGAGGGAGGGACCCGGAAATGCCATTTTCCGGGTCTCACCCAGAAAAAGGCATTTCATTACATTCAACACTGGTTTTCTGGGGGGAGCCCCTTCAGCTCCCTGGAGCTAACTACCTACAGAGGAAAAGTAAAGGGACATACCCAGGAGGTGGTCGCTGCTCACTACTAAACTCGAAGCCGAGACAACTGACTGCAACCTCCGACCCAAAGCGACACAGACCCGCCAAGGCCCAGGAACGTTCACGAGATAACAAGTACCAAGACCCTGTATGACCCTACGCCCGAAAGTCAGCCCAGGACATGTTGCCATAAACGGCAGCAAGAGCAGTGAACTCGGAAACTCATGGGCACGGGGATAGACGGCAGGCTGGCTAGCCCTACCAACCCTGCAAACGACCTGGGAGACCCACACCCTCGAACAGGGAAGAAGGGAAACCGAATCAACCCAAAGCGCGTCCCCGGACACAGAGGCCGTGGCGCGCAAATAATGGCAGATGGCTGCAATCGGACAGAAAACATGATGCACCCCCGGCTTGACTAGCCAATCATCAACAACCGAAGGACCCCTCCGGAAAGCAGTAGTCTCAATCTTCACCAAAAACGAAGGAGACGGCTGCAGACAAACAAACCTATCGCCACAACCAAAGGAGCAGAAAACCCCTGCGCCGGAGGAGAGCATTAAGTTCACTGACCCGACCTCTAGAGGCCAATGCCAACAGAAAAAAGAGCCTCTGAGAAACAAACCTGAACTGAAGGGGGGCCACAACAAACTGTGGAGAAGAAAGAAAAGAGAGGACTGTCCAATAACCAGGACGGCTCAGGCGCCGCATGAGCAGGCCGGAGGTGAAACGATGCATGAGACAGCTTGTGAAACGGCACAGATGTAACAACAATACCGCAAGCAAGATGAAGCGGCTCCGCCAACTCCGCACGATACGAGGCGACAGTATGGGGCACAATGACGGCCCCGAACCTCAACAAGAGAAGGACAAGAGAAGGACAAGACCACGCCAACAAACGCAGCTACCCAAGAAGGGACAGAAGGAAAAGGAAGGACCGCCAAAAAACCCCACACTGCCGCCAAGAAGAAGCACGCAGGTGGGACACCATCAACGAAGCCACCCGACCACCAACAGAAGGTGAGAGACCCAAGACAGAACCGAACCAGCCCTGCCATGGGCCTACTGAGCCCAGGAAGAGGCGGAGCCATGGGAAGATCTCGGGTACGACCACAGAGCCAGCAGAGCCAGAAACCCAAGCTAGCAGAGGAGGAGATGGAACATCTGCTGTATAGAAAAGCATGTCAACTCCAGCGAGCAGGCCAGGAGATCGGAGATGACAGTCCCGATACGAGACCCTAGAGAAGGGACACCGAAAGACCATGAAAATGCCAACAAGCAGGGTAAGCCAGACAATCAGGAACCCAAATCTGGTAACAGGAGAGCCAAAAGGCACAAACAAAACACACAATCATGTGTTGGACAAAATGAGAAAATGGAAAAACACAAGAAAAAGACCAGAAGAAAAGCCCCAGCACCAATGGCCAGGGACAAGAGTGTAGAAGAAAGATGAGGAACGAAGAAGTATAGCAGTGTCAGAGTAGGAGACAAGCGGAACGCATGAGGAAGAGATGTGATGGAGGATGACACCACACACAGCTTCAAGCACAGAGAAGATAGAAAAAAGAAAAAGTTCCTGTGCCCAGCAGGCACAGGAACCTGCACATGAGCGAATGACAGGTGAGAAGCGGGATCAAAAAGCCAAAGCTCAACTCCCGCAAACACAACTAGGGATATATAACTAGCTAAGTACTGAACAGAGAATCCAATGTACAGTATATGGAAGGGCTAAGCCAGGCACTGCAAGACGGGCAAGGAATGAGTGACCCAGATAAGACAACGAAAAACGGGGCCATGACCCCCCCTGGCAACCATTAACCCAGACGAACAAGGAAGGCCCCAGGAAGAAGCACGGAAGGGCCAAACAAATGCCACAACCAATCCCCAACACACACATCCACAGTATGAAAACTGCAGCAAAATGTCCCCCTCAGAACATCCAGAAAGCAATACTAACTCCATAACATAAACCCCACCACTGTACCTTGTAACCTGGTGGAGGTGGGGCCCCATAGCTGAACTCAAGCATGGGATGGATATGCATAAGAGTGGGACTGGATGGGTATAAATAGGAGCTGCCTCGTATGGCCCAATAGGCCTGCTGCAGTCACCTGTGTTCTGATGTTCTTATATTTGTATACAAAAACCATGAACCAGCACCTAACCGAAAGAGATGCCACAGCCACATAAACTCATCTGCAGAACGTAGACACAAATGAGTCACGGGATTGGTTCAACAGAAATTGCGAGAGGGCCAGAGACCAAAAGACACAAAAATGGAATCAATACAGGAAGAGTCCAAACCCCCAAACATACCAGCGATACAAAGATGCGAGAAACAACTACACAGCAGTGAGGAGAGAGGCAGAAAGAAATTTTGAAAAAGGGATTGCAGACAAATGTAAAACAGAACCAGGTCTATTCTATAAATTCATAAACCACATATTGCAGGTAAAGGATAATATTCAGAGGTTGAAAATGGGAAATAAATTCACGGAAAATGAAAAGGAAATATGTGAAACATTAAACGAAAAGTTCCAAAGTGTGTT